GAGAGACATGGCATGCTCGAGGTCGACTCACACGATAGAGAGAACATGGCTGGCTCGAGATCCGACTCCATGCCGAAGATCACGGCAGCTGGAGGAACCTCCGCCGCACATCGCACCGCGATCAGTGCTGCAATGACAGCTACCTGCGGTGGCACGCTCAATAGTTTCTTCATTGCTGCTGGCAGAGAAGTACAATCTTTTAATGGTTTGTCTAACGCATCGCACGGAGAAATGCGTTTCCCCAATTTGCGGGATAGGTGCTTGGTGTCAACCGAGAATAAGGGACCTGCGAATCAGCATACCATAAAGGAAAGGCGCATCCCAAAAATGTCGAAAGGAAAAATAGTAGGTGAAATCTGATCGTGCATATCCATACCGTTTGTGTCCGCACAAACAGTCAGCAGATGTTCCATGTACCCTTTGAAAGCGCATACAGTAGTATAGTAGTTTTGTACAATATGCGTTTCAGTTGTACTGTGTTTGTATGAATTTCAGAATTTCACAAAGGATAGTTCTACTTTGCGGTAAGTGACGGTTAATTGGGAGATGGGAAAAATGCTCGTCTTAGAATTAAGACGAAGTCCAAGCGAGCCTGTCCACGCCTCTGCAACTCTCGCAGAAGAAAGTACCTGACGTTGATGTGCTTCACTCTTTTTCCATCCGAGGCTCCCGATAGAGAAGAATCGCCGCCTTGTTGTCAGTGAACAAGGTCGGTGCAGAGCTCGGCCGCTCACCAAGGTCAGTGAGCAAGAAGGTCAACCAACACAACTTCTGTACAGCCATGGCTCCAGCGTAGAACTCAGCTTCAGCAGTAGAGGTCGAGACTGTGTCAAACTTATATGTATGTTATATAGTTGTATAGGCTGTAGTGGGGTAGCTGATATGGGGTACAACCCCATTAGGGTTTCATACTTGTACCAAACCCTGACTAATCATTCTCATTCCTGTCTCTAGTTTCTGACATGGTTTCAGAGCAGTAGGTCCGTAGGACCGTTTTTTTTTTTTTTTTTTTTTTTTTTTTCGGGCCCACCTACCGCTACCCCACGACTGTGACTGTGACGTGCTGCGCTGCACGCGTCGTCTGCCTGCTGTCTGCGTCTGTGTCTGCTGCTGCTTCGCGCGCAGACCTAATTTACGCGCGCTGCCTGCTGTCTGCTGCCTGCTGTCTGCTGTTGCCCCGCGCGCGTCGCCTTTGCAGCCCGCACGCGCCTTGCTGCTGCCCCGCGCACCGCCCGCGCAGCTCACGTCAGCCGAGCCCACGCAGCCCGCGCGCGGCCCGCAGCAGCCCCGCGCGCCGTCCGCGCAGCCCGCGGCGAGCCTGCGCAGCCCACGCGCGACCCGCCGCAGCCCCGCGCAGCCCGCGCCGAGCCCGCGTAGCCCCCGCGCGCGGCCCGCTCCTGCCCCGCGCAGCCCGCGCCGAGCCCGCGCAGCCCGCGCGCGGCCCGCAGCTGCCCCGCGCACCGCCCGCGCAGCCCGCGCCGCGCCTTAGCTGCCCGCGCACGGCCCCCCGCAGCCCCGCGCGCCGCCCTACCTGCTTGCGCCGCGCCGCTGCAGCCTGCACGCAGCCTCCTGCTCCTCCGCGCGCTGCCTGCGCTGCCTGCGGCTACTTTGCATGCCGCCCTTGCGGCTTGCGCGCTCACTTAGCGGCCTCGCACATAGTCTTGCCTACTGCCTCTGCCTGCAATGCGATTATGGCGACGTTTAATGTTCTTGCGTTTGAGCCTGACGGTCGCTCGATAGAGTTTGCCACCTGGCTCGACGATCTCACACTGTTTCTTATGACTGATGCCAAAGACGGCGTTTCACTGTTCGATCACACATCTGGCACTGCCGTTGCTCCTGCTGACGATGCTCCTGCTCTAGAACGCTCACAGTGGCAGACTCACAATGTTGCTGCGCGCCTCGCTATTTGCAACCATCTGCCGATCACTGAGCGCGCGCATTTCAGCCAGCACAAGACTGCTAAGGCACTGTACGACGCTGTAGTTGCGCGCTACTCCTCCCCGGCCACTGCAACGCTAGGCCGTCTCATGCTACCCTACCTGTTCCCCGACCTGTCCTCGTTTCACACTGCTGAGGACCTCATCGCTCACCTGCGCGCTAGTGACACTCGTTTCCGTACCGCCCTTACCGACGAGTTCCTCGCCAAGAACACCCCTCCGATGTACTTTACGCTCTACTTCCTCGTCACCCGCCTCCCTGACACTCTTCGCTCAGTCAGGGACCACTTTCTCGCTCTAGACCCTACCGCTCTCACCGTCGACGACTTCGAGAAGCACCTCCTAGAAGCTGAGAAGAACATTCTTGCTGTCGGTGCTGCTCGTGGCACTCCTCGCACTCCCCTCTTTGAGGGGTGCTCCCCCTCCCCCCTTGCCCCCTCCTACGCCTCTGCTGCTGCTGCTGTCGACTTCCTTGGTGCTGAGGAGGTTGGGGGTTCTTTCGCTCCTAGTGGGAAGCGCCGCAGTACGCAGGGCAGAGGGCTGGGGCTGGCAGGGGGGGTGGAGGTGGCGGCGGGGAGGGGGTTTTAGGTGGCGGTGGGGAGGTGGAGGAGGTGGGGGTGGTCGGGGTGGTGGCGGTGTGTGGAGGCGGGCGGTGGTACCGGGAGCAGTGGCGGTGGCAGCGGCGGTAGTAGTGGGAGGAGCCAGTGGTGGTGGCAGCAGTGGTGGCCAGGGACAGCAGCAGCAGCAGCAGCAGCCGCAGCCGCAGCAGCCGCAGCAGCAGCAGCAGCACCAGCAGCAGCAGCAGCAGCAGCAGCAGCAGCAGCAGCAGCAGCAGCAGCAGCAGCAGCAGCAGCAGCAGCAGAGCAGCAGCAGCAGCAGCAGCAGCAGCGCAGCAGCGGCGGCAGCGCAGCGGCGGCAGCAGCAGCAGCAGCAGCAGCAGCAGCAGCAGCAGCAGCAGCAGCAGCGGCAGCAGCAGCAGCAGCAGCAGCGTCAGCGCCGGGCCCTCCGTCTCAGTAGCTTCATGACTGGTATGCCGGGCGTGGGGCATCTGGGAGTGCTGGTCGCTGCCCCTATTATTCGCGCAGGTCCCTGCACTGGTCGCCCATGCAATGGTTTTCACACTGAGTATCGCTGCTTTGCTCGGCTTAGCGACGCCTGGCGCGTCAAGTTTCCTGAGGCTACTGAGTTCCCCAACTGGGCAGACCTGCTTAGGCGTGGTGTTCCTATCTTTGATCTTGACTATGATGTTATTCTTGCTGCCATGTATGCATTGACTGTTAGTGCTGAGGGTGACTGCTACTTGTGTGTGCCGCCTGACCCCGGTATAGACCCAGGTATATCGCCTGCAGCTTTAGGTGCTAGTGGGTCTGCTCTCTCTGGTACTTCGTCTGCTCAGCCTTGCACACCTTTACACTTGACTCTGGTGCTTCGCGCTGTTTCTTTCGTGACAGTACCACAGTCACACCCCTCCCTGCACCTGTCCCTGTCTCACTGGCTGACCCCTCTGGGGGCCCAGTGCTTGCACGGTCCACCACTGTGCTTCCGTGTCCGGCGGTCCCGTCTGGTGAGCTGTCTGGTCTCCACCTCCCCTCGTTCTCTACAAACTTGGTGAGCAACGCTGTCCTCCAGGATGCGGGGGTGGATACCTTCACCCCTGGGCTGCAGCGTGTGTGGCGATCTGTACGTGCTCTCAGACCGGCCGTCACCTGGCCATGTTCACACGTGCGCCTGGGTACAGTCTGTACACCCTCACCACTGCGTCGCGCTACACCCCTTTGTCTCCTCAGCTGTAGGCGTGTGCTCAGGTAGCTACCCAGTGTGAGTGTCGCCGCCTGTCGCACCAGACTCTCCTGTGGCACCACCGCCTTGGTCACCCCTCCCTGCCTCGCCTTCGTGGCATGCACTCTCGCTCCCTGGTCTCTGGTCTTCCCAGGTCTCTACCTGCCCTCCCTCCCTCGCCTGCGCCGCCCTGCATTCCTTGCGTCGAGGGGCGGCAGCGCGCCGCTCCTCACTCCTCCTCGTTCCCTTCCACAGAGGCTCCTCTGCAGACCCTCCACCTGGACGTGTGGGGATCAGTCCGCGTCGAGGGACAGGGCCGCGAGCGGTACTTCCTGCTGGTTGTCGACGACTACACGTGTTACACCACGGTCTTCCCCTTGCAGCGCAAGGCGGATGTCCCTGCTGTCCTGATCCCTTGGATCCGCGCTGTTCGTCTCCAGCTCTGCGAGCGGTTCGAGTCGGACTTTCCTGTCCTGCGTCTGCACTCTGACAGAGGTGGTGGGTTCTCCTCCGACCTCTTGGCAGCCTTCTGTGCGGAGCACGGCATCCGCCAGTCGTTCACGCTTCCGGCCTCTCCGCAGCAGAATGGGTTGCTGAGCACCGCATTGGCTTAGTCATGGAGGTTGCTCGTACCTCCATGATCCATGCGGCGGCTCCCCATTTTCTGTGGCCGTTTGCGGTCCGGTACGCCGCGCATCAGCTCAACCTCTGGCCCCATGTCTCCTTGCCGAAGACCTCGCCCACACTGCTGTGGATGGGGAAGGTTGGCGATGCGTCGCGATTCCGGGTCTGGGGTGCTCGTGCCTTTGTCCGCGATACCACCGCGGACAAGCTCTCCGCTCACGCCATTCCCTGCTTTTCCTTGGTTTTCCTCCTGACGCGCCTGGCTGGCAGTTTTACGACCCCACCTCGCGCCATGTCTTTGCGTCTCAGGACGTCACTTTTGACGAGTCTGTCACCTTCAACCGTCTCTTTCCCTACCGCACTGCCCCTCGCCCCCCCCCGCCGCTCTTTCTCGCTCCAGGTCCTCCCCAGGTAGTAGACCCACTCCCCGCGCCAGGTCCCGCTCCTTCAGGTGTTTCTCAGGTAGACCCTCCCGTGCCTGCGCCTGTTGAGGTCTTTGGTGACTCGGGACCTGTTGGGGGTGGTCCTGCTCGTGTTGCTGTCTCTAGGGGTACTGAGCCTGGGGGTGCTGAGTCTGAGCGTGAGGAGCCTTGGGGTGCTGAGCCTAGGGGTGCGGAGTCTGGGGGTGCTGAGCCTGAGCGTGAGGAGCCTGAGGGTGCTGAGCCTGGAGGTGCTGAGCCTGTGCGTGAGGAGACTGGAGGTACTGCGCCTGGGGGTGCTGCGTCTGGGGGTGCTGAGCCTGAGAGTGCTGAGTCTGGGGGTTCGGCGCCTACGAGTACTGAGACTGCTGGTCCGCGGTCTCCTTGGAGTGGCCGCCTTCGTCCGCGTGTGCCTCTCACCTCGCAGCAGCTGCACGACTGGTACGGTCGCTGTCAGGGTCGCACTGCTGGAGCTAGGGGCTCTGCAGCTGGAGGGTGTTTCTGCTGTCGTCGCTGGAGCTGGGAGTGGTGCTGGTACTTTGTCTACAGGAGGTTGCTGGAGTCGCTGGTCCCGGAGGTGCTCGTACTGGAGGTACTGGAGCTGCTGGGGCTGGGGGTGCTGCGTCTGGGGGTGTTGCTGCTGGAGACACTGAGGCTGGAGACCCTGGGACTGGAGGTACTGGTTCTGGGGGTGCTGCTACTGGAGACACTGAGGTTGGAGACCCTGGGACTGGAGGTGTCGGTTCTGGGGGTGCTGCTGCTGGTGGAGACACTAAGGCTGGAGACCCTGGGACTGGAGGTGCCGGTTCTGGGGGTGCTGCTGCTGGTGACGCTGGTCCTGGAGGTGCTGGCGCTAGAGGTTCTGGAGCTGCTGGAGGTGCTGGAGCTGCTGGAGGTGCTGGAGCTACTGGAGGTGCTGGAGCTGCTGGTGCTGGTGGCACTACAGAGCCACGACTGTTCTTCGCTCCGCCGTCTCCGTCGTCTCTGCCACCGCCTGACACTGTACTTCGTCAGGTTCTTAGCCTCCTGTCGTCTACTGGTCTTCCGTTATAGCCTGGCTCACCGCTGCCTGCTCCTTCCCCTTACACTGAGCAGGCTGGTGGTCTTGCTGAGCGTCGTGAGCTTGCGTCGCGTCCTGTCATGCCTGTTCGCAATGGTCGCACTGGTCGTACTGGTAGTCGTGTTCCTCGTCCGCGTCCGCCGGCTGTCCCCGGCACACACCTCATGGCTTTGTGTCCTTCCTCAGCTCCGCAGCGTGTTCCTCTGCCGTCTCCTCCTGCATCCTCTCTGCCTGACGTTCCGGACCCTGAGTCTGACCAGTTTCGTGCTGCACACCCTACTGTCACGCGTCTGTTAGCCACTGTTTTCACTGACCCGTCATTTGAGTCTGCTGCTGCGTCTGCCTTAGTCGCTGAGCTTGTTGACTTTGCTGCTGCCTGTCGTCTAGAAAGTCTTGTTGTAGTCTGGGTTTGCCTGTCCTCTGTCCGTCAGGGGTGAGTGTACTCTTGGCACGGACGTCCTTGAGGACAGGCACGAGGACCTTGAGTGTCTTGCAGCCGCTGCGCCTCATCTCGTGGCCATGCTGCTTGCCCCTGAGGGAGACCCGGATGCACCAGACATCCCGACCCCGCGCTCTTACGCTGAGGCGATCGCGGGTGAGTACTCCTCTCAGTGGCAGACAGCCATGGACGCAGAGATGGCATCCTGGAAGTCCACATGCACTTACGTCGATGAGGTTCCCCCTCCTGGGGCGAACATCGTCGATGGCATGTGGATTTTCAGGGTGAAGCGGCCGCCGGGTTCTCCGCCTGTCTTCAAGGCTCGTTATGTTGCTAGAGGCTTCAGTCAGCGTGAGGGAGTTGACTTCTTTCAGACCTTCTCCCCTACCCCGAAGATGACCACTCTTCGGGTGCTGCTGCACGTTGCCGCTCAGCGTGACTACGAGCTTCACTCTCTTGACTTCAGCACAGCCTTCTTACAAGGCAGCCTGCACGAGGAGATCTGGCTGCGCAGCCCACCTGGCTTCACTGGGTCGTTCCCTCCTGGTACCCAGTGGAGCCTCCGGCGGCCAGTCTACGGTCTCCGCCAGGCGTCTCGTGAGTGGCACGACACACTGAGGACTACACTTGCGGCTCTTGGGTTCGCTCCTTCGACAGCTGACCCGTCGCTGTTTCTGCGCACCGACACTTCTCTGCCGCCGTTCTACATCCTCGTATATGTCGACGACTTGGTCTTTGCCATTGCTGACACTGAGGCTCTCGCCCTGGTGAAGTCGGAGCTACAGAAGAGACACACGTGCACTGACCTGGGTGAGCTGCGCAGCTACCTTGGCTTGCAGATCACCCAGGACAGAGCACGCCGCACCATCACACTGACTCAGTCACACATGGTGCAGCAGGTCCTTCAGCGCTTCGGCTTCACTTGGTCCTCCGCACAGTCCACTTCTCTAGCTACAGGTCACTCGCTCTCAGCTCCACCTTCGGACGAGTCCGCAGAGTCGAGTGGTCCTTACGCAGAGCTAGTGGGTTGCCTCATGTACCTGATGACCTGCACTCGACCTGACCTTGCATACCCTCTTGGCCTTTTGGCTCGCTACGTGGCTCCTGGTCGGCACCGAAAGGTGCACATGGATGCTGCGAAGAGGGTACTGCGCTACCTGTGCAGTACGTCGGGCATGGGGCTCGTGCTTGGAGGACGGAGCGACGTTGTCCTCACTGGACACTCTGACGCGTCTTGGGTTGACGACCAGGCTACGTAGGGGTCGTCACAGGGTTACACGTTCAGCCTTGGCTCTGGCTCTGTTTCTTGGCGGTCTACGCGCTCGTCTTCTGTTCTCAACTCCAGTTGTGAGGCTGAGATCTGCGCCACAGCCATGGCTTCTCAGGAGTTACCTATCTGCTGCCTACCTGCTAACTGACTTGGGAGAGAGGCCTCGTTCTCCTCCAGTTCTGTATGTCGACAACAAGGCCGCCATTGCCTTGTGTCAGGAGCACAGACTGGAGCACAGAACGAAGCACATCGCTCTGCGTTACTTCTTGGCTCGAGAGTTGCAGCAGCGAGGTCAGCTTCGTCTTGCTCACGTGGCCACTCGGGCCAACACCGCTGATATATTCACCAAGGCACTTCCGTCTGGTGATCATCAGCGCTTTTGTACTCTGTTAGGCCTTGTGCCTACGTTTCCGCACTTGCTGTAGT